CGTTGGACCATTGCTACTGCGTTGGTCCACCCTTGTGGGGCCACGTTCATGTGGACTAATCCTCGCGGCGTGTGCATAGCTGTCACCGGCCTATCCGACGGGTAGACTGGGAACTGATCGTATCCTGAGTAAAGGCCTATAAGTGAAATTATAGGCCTTCCAGCACAGGATTCTGACAGCGCGTCTGCATTCGGCAGTCCTCCAGCATCTCGCACGGTCACTGCATTCAATCTCTGCAAATCCTGCACCCACCGCAACGTCCCGTTAGGCTTAATAAAACAGAACCACGGGGACGCATACGATCCACTTGAATAGTCGGCGACGTGAGTACGTATCTTGCCGTCGAGATAATCCACCACCTTCCTCTCCTCGTCAGGATTGGGATACCCCGCCCCTCTCATATTCCAAGGCTCGTGTGGCACGGTGTGGATGCGGATCATAGGTATCTTATCTACATCCAGCCTGCCACGCTCCTCGTCACTAAAYGCGTAGGCGYGATGCTTCCTCTTCATTAATTCCACCATCAGCGTTCGCTCCTGAGGCAGCAGGAAATCAGACTCCCCTATGATCAACTCCTTCTCGTTCCCTTCGTTGATACGACATGGCCCTGCTAAAGCACTTTCCCTCATTTGTCGAATCAACCCTCGTTCCCTCTCGTAATATGCTTCCTCGTCCTCTGTAACGAGGACGGGTACCGGGCGACATTTCTTATCTACCGTCTTGTACCGCCTTTGGGAACCCTACTTGAGCCGTCCCCTAAAAAAGGCCGACTCACAGATTGTGTTTGCGCTGATGCGGGGTTCCCTCCACTGCCTGGGAGCCGATATACCAGTTCCAACCTTCCTGCCTCAGGGCATTCCAGAACTTGTTCCCTCAAGGCCTGGATGGCATCCGGATCTGCCATCTCATGCGCGGCCACCAGGTCCATGACCTTCCCAACATCTGACAGGCTGAGGGAAAATGCTTCCACCCCCTCTCTTGCTTCGGGCTCTGCCCAGAGCCTCCTGCGCTCCCCTTCCGACTCCTCGATTGTGAATGATTCTGGATTGGGCCGGTTCCTTATACTCCTTGGCCCGGTGTTCCTGCAAGTAATTATTTCATAATTTCCGCAGGCAGAATCGCATAAGAGGAGGATCAACGTCCCGTCATGTTTGTTGAACATCACGGTCTCTGTCCTGCTTAGGAATGACCTCCTCAGGAGGATTCCATGGTCCACGTCTGGCATTATGAAGAAGCATGCCCTGACCTTCACCTTTCCAACCTCGACGAGCACATTCGAGGCTGTCCCACAAAACACGGCCTTACAGCTGACGTTTGCTCTGTGACGAAGCACAAGCGGCGAAGGCTGCCGCGAAATGGACACCTTTTGCTATCTAATTCTGAATCTTGACTCCGATACACTTAGATTGCTCCAATCACGGAATAACAATAGCTCGGCATTGGACTTCGATTTCCACGCCCAAAAATACAGGCGCCAGCTACACAAACACCACTGGGGCAATTTTGCTCGAATCCTAGTCTGATCCACTTGGAACCTCGTTTTTTAATTAAAATCGCACATGATCCAGACATTGACAGCTCAACACACAACGCGCGAGAAAGACTAAGAAACTTCTGAAGTAAAGTTAGGTCCTGCGACCCTAACGCTTTCGACAACAATTTTTGAATTCATCTTGTTATCTCGATTTGTCGTTTTCAAAGAGCCACATTTTTCCAGGTGTATCAAGGCGTCAGCCCAAGTTAGTATCGCAACTTGACCTAGTCCCCGACAATGCAACCCTTTTGAATCCATCTTGTCATCACGATTCATTTTGTTGTTTCTAAGGAGCCTCATTTTTCAGGTGTAACAACGCGCCAGCCCAAGTAACATTGCAGCTTGATCCGGTTCCCGACAGCGCAACCTTGACTTTGTCGTTTCGTCGAACCGCACTCAAGAGCACTAGTCCTGACGGCGCTGACGCGACAAATATTCTCACCAAAATCTAAACCTCTGAAACCTATCTTCGAATCGTCTGCAGCTCTTCTGAACACGTTTTCTACACATATACACCTATTGAGAATACAGATCTCGCCGCACAATTTAAGATTTCACGCTTGAGTTACTTGAACCTGATCTCTACAACAAGTCTGCAAATTTCTCGAATCTCCGTCTGCTCTCTAGCTTACTCAGAAGGGGGAGGGGAGGGGAAGGGAGGGGAGGGGGGGGGGGCGCGGAAAATGTTTTGCCCTGCCGCCCGTACCCGCCTAAGCTACAAAAAATAAAAATAAAAAACGCAATGTATCAAACCCGCCCACGTTTTGCTCTGTGAAGAAGAACAAGCGGCGAGGGTTGCCGCGAAAAGGACACCTTTTGCAATCTAATTCTGAATCTTGACTCCGATCCACTTAGATTGCTCCAATCACGGAATAACAATAGTTCAGCACTGGACATTGATTTCCGCGCCTAAAAATACAGGCTCCAGCTACACAAACACCACTGGGGCAATTTTGCTCGAATCCTAGTCTGATCCATCATTAAAATTGCACCTGATCCAGACATTGACAGTTCAACACACGACGCGCGAGGAAAGCTAAAAAACTTATAAAGTAAAGTTAGGCCCTGCGACCCTAATGCTTCCAACAACAATTTTTGAATCCATCCTGTCATCTCGATTTGTCATTTTCAAAGAGCCACATTTTTTCAAGTGTATCAATGCGTCAGCCCAAGTTAGTATCGCAACTTGACCTAGTCCCCGACAGTGCAACCCTTTTGAATCCATCCTGTCATCTCGATTCATTTTGTCGTTTCCAAGGAGCCTCATTTTCCAGGTGTAACAATGCGTCAGCCCAAGTAACATTGCAGCTTGATCCGGTTCCCGGCAGCGCAACCTTAACTTTGTCGTTTCGCCTCGCTGTGCAATTTAAGATTTCACACTTGAGTTACGTGAACCTGATCTCTACAACAAGTCTGCAAAATTTCTCGAATCTCAATCTGCTCTCTAGCTTACTCAGAAGGGGGAGGGGAGGGGAGGGGAGGGGAGGGGGGAGGGGGGGGGGCGGAGAATGTTTTGCCCTGCCGTCCGTACCCGCCCAAGCTATACGCACTAAAAAATCCGTGATTTTCACTCCTAAATTGTGCCTTACGGACGGACGGCGATGTCTTGTACTCAATGGATGTTGGAAGTAGACATAGAACTAAAAACGTGACAATCACACACGCAAACAAGTTTGGCAGTACATAATTTCATGCTCTAGCAGCTGATTCATGCAATTGCTCGACTCACTGAAGGATCCTCTCAGGCCGCTAAACATCGGACGTGCCTCAACCTTTTCTTAAACTTCTAATAAGTTCTTCAGTACCGAAAAACTTTGGTCTGTCCCCGTAGCTACACCTATCCATTATTCTACCCCTGACCGAGGCACAGAAGAGGCATGCGAAACAGCATAGACTGAGGATCTCGCACTTCAACACAGACATGCATATGGCATACAGACATCAACAGTAAAGAACACTCGTACCAAGAAAAGAATAGCAAATGGACAGAGCTTAGAAATCTCAGTCAACCAATCTAAAACTGCAGCACATATATATATAGAAAACTCGAGCAAGACTCAGAAACACAACATGAATAACGGCTCAAGCAAGGGGACAAGCACTTCGATCCAAGCAAATCATATGGCATACATTCAACTTCAGCAGGTCGTGCACTGCGTAAGCACAACAAATACATAAGGATTCGGAAATCTTAGTCAATTGAACAAAGGACAACAGCCTTCGCGTAATTCGCTACTCTTTGAATCAGTAATGCCCATATGTTTCTATCTGCAAATCAGCCCTGACGGCAAGGATGCTCCTTCACACTAAAACAACGTACCACATCTCAGGTGACGGCGAACCTGGACCGCTGTCAGAATATACTCATATGTCGATGGAAGTCTCCCTGGCTTAGATCAATCAAACTTTCATCTTCAAAAGTTGTATGCCTGTCTTGAGAAAAGGGGATCTAATTGGCAAGGAATCTTTTTTTGCAAGCAGAACAAACTACAAAGGCTGTCCTATAGGCACGACGACCCTAATCCCACCTGGAGCCCGTACCTCATCTACCGGAGGAGAAGAAAAGAGGGAAAGAGAAGGAGGGGAAAGGAAAAGCTACGCCTACCTATTCTTAGATTTCAGCCATACCGAAACCAGATACATGAAGAACTTAGCAGAAGGAATAGAACGAAAGGAAGAAATCAAGAAGGGTAATTTTCTATGAGATACAACGACGTTCCTCTATATATTACTGTAGGAATAAGTTGTCCTAGTCTGTCACATTGTCAAGGGGAATAACGTTTTCTTCTGCAAACACGATCGAACCAGGGAGTGTACTCCCCGCCCAACAAAAGGAATAAGAGGATAAGACAGGATTCAGATCTACTTTATTTAAACATCCCAACATTTCCTTTCTCTAGCCTCCTTTACATACAAGAAGCAATGTTACCTGACACAAGGGGATGAATAAAACTCAGGAAACCGAATGATCTGCAAACAAATGAACTGAAGTTTTTTTTTCAGTTTTTCTATTTATAGTACGAGGAAGATCTGTAACTTGTCTGCTATTTCGCGAATTGTTTTAGTAAAGACGAAAAAAATTATAAATAGGACTTGCAAACTACTAAAGGATCTAACCAAAAACCCTTTCTTTCTTGCAGATGGATCCGGTGCTCAGAAGCGTGGTAAACATAAGAGGGCATGCCACCTTAAAAGGCCAGACCGTTCTGGCCTGCGATACTCTCCCGACACTAGGCTATTACGAAGCAAGGATTCTGGATTGCCTCAATCCAGTGTCCACCTACTTGGAAGCCTTACAATTCAACCTCCAAAGAACGGACATGGACAGAACATTCGTGGCAACCTTGGACCTCCTCAAGATGTGGCCCCAAGTACCGAAGGAACCCCCGGTTGCTGCAGGAAGAAGCAGGAACCACGACGACCATCCCTCGGAGCATGAAGACATGGATTGGAACCAGAGAAGAAGATGGCTGAAGAGGCAGAGGGATTGTTCAAACCTGGCCCCCAAGGAAGCCACATGGTATGTTTCGGAAGAGCCTTGCTGGGAAAATTTCGGGCTTCCGACTGGAATTCCTCAGGCAGCAACTAACCATAACCTTGCCGGTGGGCAGACTAACCCCCAGAATGAACTCTCTGTCTTTCCAGTAGGAGGACCTTCAATGCCCCTACCTAGAGGACCGGCATCCGCTGCTTCAACCCATCTTATGCCCCCCCCTACCGGCCTTTTTCCCCCCATGGACGGAAATCACTCAACATCTTGGGTGCCCCCACTCCCAACCGGACCATCATCCTACCCTCACCCACCTTCTTCACCTCCGTCTCTCCCCGGTGGATGACCCCAAAAATATCTCACCAGCTTCGTTCCCGTCGGATTCCTCAACAGACGAGGAACTTTTGGCCAATTTCTCGATTTCCCAAAATGGAGTTTGCCTTGTAGTAATCGAGATGTTTGAAGGCGTTATTGAAGAGATCAAGGAGAAGAACGATGCTGCAGCAGAAGAAGTCAGACAACTCAAGAAATTCTACCTCGCCCCCCTTTGGAGCAAGCATCTCAATTTCATCCAACGAGCCATGCAGATTCCATTAAATTGGACTAACTTCCCAAGAGGAAGGAAGGAAGGCAGGGGTCTGGTTTTCCAAACCCAAGGCTTCCCAAGCAGATTTGCCGATTATCTCTGCC